CTAGTCAGAGTACCACACATGGGCCTTGCGGATCGAACTGTCAGCAGCCGGAGCAACGGCGACTTCTAATACTCCGTTCGCGATCTTCCCCTGAAAACAAGAAAAAGAAACTTCTTTTCAGGGGACGCTAGAAGAGATCGTTCAGTAACATGCAGCAGAGTGAATACAAGAACGTCCGGTGTGGCGGGTGTGTTGACTTCCTGCCGTGTTTGGCCGAAGCAAAGGGACCAATTGGGGGAATTAAGTAGAAACTGCTGGTTGGAAGATTCGGCCAGACGTCGGCGTGTCACGTGACCCGCCCGCACGACCCGCCGGCAGCAGAAACTTCTCTGCTGCTCAAATTCACCGCCACTATTTTTCCCGTGCAAAGCATGGACTGTAAAAACGATTTGGAAGCTGGCAGTTTGAGTTTGACCTCGTCCTCTCGACCGCTACAAGCTTACATTTCACGATGTCTGTCGCTTATCTGTTGCATTCGTACTACTTAGGGCATATACCATGTTGTTATTTTAGGAGTGTCGCGTAGGACAAATGATAAGATGAATAAAAAAGAACTCATAAGAAAAAGTTAAGAGAATATAAGAGATGATCTCTTAGTACAATACGTCTCGCCACATTTTTAGAAATGACTAGTTATTGAAGATAAGGCTAAAAGATGACCCATTATAGATTTTTTTGTCATATATCTAAATTACATGCAAGACCTAAAATAAGACTATTTTATCAACCACTATATATACCCTTACTGTCACGCCGGAGATGCTACTTAAGGGCATCTCCAATGACGACCCGCAAATTCCTTCGGTATATGCCTGTTTTTATGTCCAGACATGATACGGGAGGCAGACATCCAACGCTAATTACGAAGTATCCGGCTAAGAGGAGAAAAATTAGATGGAGACCATGCATGTGGTGGAATATTTGTGGTTTAGTGTCTCATTGGGAGGATAGAGAGAAAAGGGGGACTCTACATGCATGTGCTGTTGGGAGGAGAGAGAGAAAAGAGGGACATGTATATGACTGGTCAAGTGCACGTCTGGACTCCCGCAAAATTTCCCCACGTTTGTCTCCAAAATAAAGGAATCTGGATGTCCAGACAGCTTTGCGGACTTATACAGGTCCCCATTGAATTGCAAAAAGTGAACAAATGTGTTCACCTTGATATATACCCGTGTTTTGCAGGTCTCACTTAAGGGCATCTCCAATTGTAGCTCATCAAATCCCCTGTATATCCGGACTAGACGGTTGAAGGCATTAAGTTCTTCAACACGGATGTTTATATTGGGCTGGCTCGGTCTGAACGTGCAACATTTTCCAGGACGACTTCAAGTCAGTGGAGCTCTCAAACGCCTGGACATCCGCCGTGTAGGCATCCGACAACTCGGTCGCATTCAAAAATCCTTGCTGACACTAGAATACTATTCATATTCATACCGTCTCACCGGGCATCCGCCTACCCGCATTGGAAGTCTGGTCGGCCCGTGCACCGCTTGAGAAGCCTACTCTAATTATTAAAGCCGCCCCCTAACCCTACCCACTCCTCTCCCCTCTCATAGTTATCGTCCCCATCCGCTTCCGACCGACGACACCATGGGAAACAAGAATATGGCACTGAAGATGATGTGGATTCTCGACGGCTACAGGGCGGACACCCCACTGCCCGCCGCGACGATGGATCTGACGGCACGCTACGGCTAGAGATGCAAAGATACCTTTAAATTGGAAAATACTCCCTTTATCTGGAATTACTTGTCGCAGAATTCCTGGCGGAGGGAGTATATGAAAATACATGTGTTACGAAGATGATATATTGAAACTTATCCTTGTAACTGTAACCCCTGAAAAATAATATACTCATTTCTAAAAAAAGTACCAAATTAGATTCGGGATGAAATCCAACCTTCTCAGCTTTGTGCAGGACTAGAACAATTAAACTATGTAAATATCATGTTTCCTACAAAAACATGGTATATGTCTATTGTGATCCAAATAGGCTCATACAAACACATGTTAGCTAAATTAAATCATAGTTTGAGATAGATAAACAACTCGTATTAATGAAACCGAACTTGTCCCTTCTTATTTGAAAAAAGAATTTTCTTCCCGGTTTTCTTAAAGAATTTGGAAAGTTTAACTGAACTTGGCCATGCCTTTTTATGAATCAAATTTGGGCCTTCATTTGTATTTGATAGTTGAATGTTTTACTTCTTTGCGAGTGGCAAAAAGGAAGAGCAAACCTAGGTTTGTGCATCTTTGAATGCTTACAAACACTACATCATAGGGGGGAACCAACCAATGATTGGATGGTTAGGACATTTGTAATAGAACACACAAATTTTAACTCCTCGAATGCATCCTCAAATCCAATGAGTTAAAAAATGTGGAGCTAACAGAACCCCTAATACTTAATTCTCCAAAGATATGATCCCCAACTGGAAATCTTACTCTCCCTCTTCTTCATCACCGCACACAATCCCTTATCCTCCCTTCTCTTCCATGGCCAGGCAATGCCCCCTCAATCTCCCTCCTCCTTACGTGTCACCATCGCCGTCTGTGTCCCCCTCCCCTTTTATCCCCCGGTGCAAATATCCCACGTCAGCACTATTTTCTAATAGTGACACCATATTGGTGGCATTGGGTGTCCATGCCAACAAGGCACTTTTTTTTCCACACCATAGCTAGGCTTTTCTGCACTAATGGTTAGCAAGATAACTAGAGAGGATTTCACAATTTTTTGAATTGATTGCTAAGCGAAAGAATAACAATCTCACGTGGTAAACTATCTAGCATTCGATGAACAAGTTGCAAGGGGCTCTCCAGGTATTTAAATATTTTTTAAGACTTGTTGATTTCTCTTTGTTTTTAATACTCGCGATGTTCCTTTTACTTTCCTCACGTGATTATAGACAAGCTTATTCGCCCATGTCACAATCATTTATTATTTCACCCATGGCATGAAAGCTAAGGAGAACAAAAACTAAAAGGAGAACAAAATGGTTTTGTGCTTTTCAAAAATTTCCATTTCCTTTTCTTTGGCACAAAGGGTTAGCTCCCAGGTGATTAAAACATATGTTTTTCATTAAAATCGATTCGTGAACCTAAGCACCACACTTAAGTTGATAAACTAAGTCCGAAAGTGTATACTACTCACATTAAAAGTGAAGTGCAAGCGAGACAAGATGTGAAACACAAGTGTGGAGCCTCATACGTGCTTAATTAAAAAGGGAGATTCCACTTAAGGCTGGAGTTCTCATCTCTAAACTACAAATTTTATTGAGTAAGGTTCATATTGGAAGATAATACCGGGCACTTGTACTAGACTCTTTTTGTCGAATCGAAGCGACTGAGCGGCTTGTGCGGGTTTGCATATACGGCGCGGTACCGTATATGTCACCACACTAGGTCCAAACCTTTGTGAAAATAACATACAAGGTAAAAGAAAATGATTCGTTATACGAAAGGACCTAACCAGGAAAAAGATAAAAGAAAACATGAAGTGCTATAGACAGTTATTGGTTGGGAGTCTTTGAAGGTAAATAATACTACCTCCGTCTCGGTGAATAAGTCATTCGCATAGTTTTAGTTGACGATTTAACTATCTAAATATGTATTATATGTGACAAAAAATATATATTTAGAAACTACATCCTTGTAGAAATCTAGTGATATACTTTTCATGACATATAATACATATTTAATTGCTCAAATCGATGACCTAGAACTACGTAAATGACTTATTCACCTAGACGGAGGTAATAGTATTAGATTGCAAAACGGGTGGTTAAAATATAACCCACTGACCCAGCACAGAAATATAAGCAGATTGAGCGTTTTCTGGCCTTGGTACGAGCGCACCACCCGTTGTTGTTTTTTTGCTCTGATCTGGCATACCACGTCGACGCCATTCGGTACAAGCGCACCGTCTTGAAATATTGGACTTTCTGTTGCTTTTGGCCGAATGGAGTTTGAGCAGCAGTACGGGCGGGAGCGCTCATACTTGACATCATCTTGGTCTCCGGGACCTTCTATTAGGTTGTGCCCAAGGATGGTACGAGCGCTGGTACGAGCGAGTGCGCTTGTATCAAACGCCGTCAAATGCTCTGGTCTGGCTTCGGCCCCTCTCTCTTGTACGACTTCCTGTGTGAGTGTGGGCATCATAGTCAACGTCATCTCTCTCTGAGTGCCTGGAATGGCATGTTTCTTTGATGTTTTTCTCCGTAGGCCCAAGAGATTAATTCCAACATATGTATTAGGCAAATATTGAGAAATTCAACCAAGCTATGATACCACATATGTATTTTAGGCAGAGGAATAATTTTACCCCAAGGAAGATTAGTCCCAAACCAACTCTAATAGCAAATCATGCAGTGCCAATGCAAAACATGAATGCATCCTAAACTCAAAGACACAAAACTAAGGAACACATCTACTTACTTTCGGTTTGCTCCCGACAAACGGCGGGACGTCCACTCGGCCTATCATAATGAGCTAAAACGTGACTAACAAAGTAGTGATTCGGTCGAACATGAGCAATACAAGTATTTCGAAGCACCATAAACGGTGTGTCATCCTGTTATTTCGTTCTGCAAGTCCATTGCGCCAGTAATAGTGTTCTGCAAGTCCATTGCGCCAGTAATAGTCCCTTCGTAAACTAATATAAGAGCTGGTTGGTGAGACGTGGTGTTAGATCTCGGTAGGAGAGGTCGCTTCGCTTCACCACTTTTATACTCGCCGACCGAGTACACCGCCACCCACACTACTCAAGTCCTCAAATCAACCTCCAGTCCAAGCTACTAGCCAGCAAAGACGCCTCATCCTCCCGACGCTCTCCCAGTCCCTCCTCGTTCATGTGCGGCCGAACTCCTCGCCACAGCTTGCCCCCGCCACCCTGCCCTCCCAAAGCTTCTACAACTGCCGCCGAGAGGTCGCGAGCCCTGCACCAGCCGTGTAATCTGCACCTCCTCAGTAATTGAAGCGAAAAGGAGGTAGTATATATAGCTATGGTTTGTTGCTCTCGGCGGCGAGACACGCCGGCGGCCGGCGGTCTGCTCGGGTCGTGCCTCCTCATCGCCATCCTCGTCCAATCCTCGCTCCTCGGATCCACCTTCCTCTTGGCCGTGGACGCTGCTCGCACGTCGGCGTTCATGGCCATGGCGCCGCTACCAGCTGTTGCTATGGCCCCCTCGCCGTCGGGGCTCAAGGACGACAAAAGGCGTGTGCCGACGGGTGCAAACCCTTTGCACAACAGATGAGGCGGGCCGCAGGATCGTGGCACGCACAGCGAAGCTGCTGGTATCCTGGGTGAGAGGGAGATACAGTGCGTGTATCATTCAGAGCATGCAGGCTGATCAACTCGCGATCGACATTCGACAGTGCTGCGAGACTCCGTAAGCTTCTGATTCTACCTCTTTTCTTCTCCGCGCCAAGCCGTGAAGTCATCGATCAATTGATCAGCTGGGGGGCTGGTCGAGGAGAAAGGAAGCTGAATGAGAAGGGTACTGGGCTGCGCTTGTGTTAGTTAGCTAGGTATAGTACGCCCTTGTTGTTTTGTAGCAGTATGGCATTCTTGATGCTTCAAGTAAAAACATTCATGTAATCATTTGTTGTTTTCGCCCTCCGGGGGGCTTCTCATTTTGCTTCTTCTTCTTCACGATGGATCAATAAATACATAGTTGTTGCGATAGAGTAAAGGGAGGTCAACGTCCGTGGTGACAAATGCGCCTGCACCTGACATTAGTTGGGGCTGGGCTTCTTCTTCTTCTTCCATGCACGATGATGCATGGAGACAAGGTAAGAAAGGCCCCGTGCTGCAAAACTCGTTGTACGTAGTACCAGTGTCAGTGTGGACGATCCCATCTGGTTCCAGTCAAAGCGAGGCCCCATGACACCAGTACAAAGACAGTAGCTAGTGGACACGTCGTGGCCAAGGAATTTGACCTCAAAACCATTTGGCCAGATGCAAATTTAAGAGAAACAAAGAAACAAACTTCCAGTTGCAAACGTGGTCTCTCTGCTCGATTTCAGATATTGCCATCGTTACTCATTCAATAGCTCATATTCAATTAGGTCAGATCTGGATTACTCGCTGCTACTAGTACTTGGGAACAGTATTGTAACGCGGCAATTGATGATCCTTGTTTGAAGTGCATCAATTCCGTTGTCCAAACGGAGCCGTGTTTGTGGGATTCATGGGCAGGCTTGGCGTGTTGCTCTTGGAAGCAGCTGCATCACTCGCAGTCCTGCATCTGCATATGCAGTCGGGAGCGAGAGCGCGTGTGCGTTGGTGCAACTTAACGCACAAGTCGCCGGAAAAGGTGCCCTGATGTTCTCCGCCCTCGGACTCACTATTATATGCGCGGCCCTCGTACTGCTCTCACATCTGCACTAACCACGACGTACGCATGCATCGCGCCCTGTCTATCTTTCACCGGCGGATCCGGTGCTGCATCCAAGTCATCATCTTCTGCTTGATTAGATTAGTACAAGGTCAAAATGATCTACGTAGGAGTTCGCGCAGCTCCGCTTTGTACACGTATTATCTGTCGGAGTAACTTTTGTTTTACCCGTGAGAAACACTGAGAAGAGATCGATCAATGGAGGTAAGTAACTACTATAGCTAGCCTGACATGATGTTTCAGCAGCAATAGTAGGTATTTGTATCGGTGCATATAGATAGACTGTACTCACGTATGTACCGTATACGCACGTCGACACCATGCAGGTACGTACGTACGTGCTTTGTAGAAGCCTTTAGTGAAGGCGGCGACTGGTCGAGATTTGACCGTGGTAGAGTGACAAATCAGCGGTCATTTGCTTGTGCCGACAGGATCAGACTGGTCGATAGGGCCATGTCCATCGCCTCAGGTTGGTTAACAACTCGACATGAGTCGCATGCATCATCCATTCCAGGCGGCAGTGCATCTCATGTCTCTCTGGTTCTGGTGTCTTATGGACAAAGCAAGAACATACGCTAGCGCTAATCTAGCACCGTATGTTTTGCTCCAACCAGGCAGTCCTACATAAATCCGGCCAGAAGATGTGAAGGGAAATAAATGTCATAGAAGTGCGGCCCTGATTAAACCACGGGTGGGAAGCCTGGAAAGAGCTTTTGGGTCACGCAGCTCAAGAGATTCCGAGTCTCCGTGCATCTGCGCTGCACTGCATGCATGTCCCGCGCCGCGCGCCCTGGGCGCTGGGGAGGCGGCAGAGGCGGGAGCGAACGGGGAGCGCCGACCGGTGCCTGGGTCGCCACGGTTTCCCGGGCGTTGTTTATCGCACCGAAGGCGTTGAATGTCTGCTGCTCGCATTAATGGTCACGTGAGCTGGAAGCCATGGCCAGCCCCCGCGTTGGCTCTTGTCCCTGGGCGCGCGCTGCTGGACTGGATCCATCGTCCATCTCTCTTGCTTGTCAGCTGCGACCGCGGAGGTCAAATTTATCGCGCTGGGTTTACTGTGGGATTGGATGTGATCCCTCTCTGTTGGATCGCTAGCTCTTCTCGAGGGATCTTTCTTTCCGTTGACCACAAAGCCGATTGTTTGATGCGTTTTTTTCCAGAAACTTTTAATATATTCATTTTCAATCATGGCATTACAAAGAGCAACAGAGGTACTCCCTCCTTTTTTTTACTCTGCGTATAAAATTTGGTCAAAGTCAAAACTACACAAAATTTGACCAAATTTATATCAAAAAATATGAATATCTATAATACTAAAACAATATACCAAATTTATATAAAAAATATGAACATCTATAATACTAAAACTATATAGTATGAAAATATATTTCATGGTGCATCTGATAATATTGATTTCATATTGTGAATGATAATATTTTATAATATAAAGTTAGTCAAACTTTTACAAACTTGACTTTGACCAAACCTTATATGCAGACTAAAAAGAAATGAAGGGAGTAATAAAAATGGGATTTTTTTTTTGTTTTTGACACTCTAGATTTTGTCAATTTTCCTTATTCCACTCTATATTTTAACATTTCACTTTTGCCACTCTTAGTTTTTGACAATTATCGCAATTGCCATTCTGTGGCAAAAGCAAAATAATTTATTTCGTTTTTGCCACTCTTAGCTTTTGACAATTATCACAATTGCCACTCTGAAAATTTTGTTTTTGCCACCAGAATGGCAATTGTGATAACTGTCAAAAACTAAGAGTGAAAAAAGTGAAATGTCAAAATCTAGAGTGGCATATGGAAAATTGGAAAAATCTAGAGCGGCAAAAATATTTTTTTCCAATAAAAATTACAACCATGTTCGTGGACCACCTAGCGGCAACTACAAGCAGTGGATCGAGCCGAAGGCGCGCCGCTATCACCGCCCCTCCCTCACCAGAGCCGGACAAACCTTATTGTAGTAGACAGTCAGGAAATCATCATGTTAAGGCCACATAGGACCAACGCACCAGAGTAGCAACCATCAGCGATGAAGAAAATTGTAGATCAAAAGGATCAAACCTGTAAACACCCAAACGATGATGAACAAAAACCGAATCCAAACAGATCCAACAAAGACCAGCACCGACCGAATCCCGCGAGATCCGACGAAGACAAACCTCCACACGCTCTCCAACGATGCTATATGCACCATCAGGACGTGGATAGAACGTGGGAGACATTATTCCTACTAAGGGACATCACCGCCACCACACAGCGCCAACCAAGACGTTGAATCTAGTAAGAACGAGAACGGGGTCCCTCCCGCCGGCGGGGGCCGAGATCCTCTGTAACATCCCAAATTTTCAATTTGGAATGTTATACATAGGTCATCATATGCATATCATATTTTATTTGCAATTTGAGTTTTGATCCTAGAAATTCTAGGCAACTCAAGGACCCATGGAGAGAGTTGGGGATTTCATTTATTTTCATATTTGAGTTTTTCTCAAATATTGAAAAGATGATCATTTTGATTTTAATTATTTTTCTCTCCAAAATATTTCCAATATTAAAAATAAAATAGAGGAGATAAAATGACTTCTCCAAAATAAAGGAAATATTGGAGGAAAAATGTTAAAATCAAATAAATAATTTTATTTGGGTTTTATTTGTTATTTTATTTGAATTAGAAAAAATATGCATTTTCAAAATTGCATTTTTAGGCCAAGAAAATGTTCACTTTGTTCTAAATATTTTATTTAGATGGTGAAAATTGTTTTTGGTATTTTTTTAGAAATTTTTATATTTATTTAGGATTTTTACTTTTTGGCGGAATTTAGATTTTTTTTTAAAAAAAATCGCGCGCCCAACTGGGCCAACGGCCCAGCCGAGACGGGCCAAGCCTACCAGCGCCGACGCCTCCCGCGGCCGTGCGAGTGCTAGACTCCCGCCGGAGTCCGGGTCGGCCTCGGCGTCCGTGCCCCCTCCCGCAAGACGCCGCCGCCCCCGAGGCCTTTATAACCCGCGCCACTCCCACCGCCTCTCACCACCACCACCGCCGCAGCAGCAAGCAGCAGCAGCCACCGCCGCCGCTCTGCCCCGCCGCTCCGCCCCGCGTCGTTGCCGCGCCCGCCGCCGCCGTCGCT